GTCATCGCCGCGGGGATATCGCGTGAATCCCCGATTCGCCTGGTAATTTCGCGGCGGAACGGGCGATGTTGGTTTCCATGCGTCGCGACGCGGTGGACTGCTAAAACGGCGTTCGCGCCATTCCGGGTTTTGGTCACGCCTTCCGAAATCAACGCGGCGCGGAGATTCGCTTCTTCTAAAGTCTCTACTCGGTCGCCAGTCGGGAGTTCCGCCGCGCTGTTCGAAATTCACACGGCGCGTTTCGGTACGGCCCTGTCTCGACTTTTCTAACTCTAATCTCTTGAACGCTGAGATTGCTTCCCGAAATACACATTTTAACGGTTCGGCCGCGACCGATTTTACTTCTAAACGCATGGGTGACATCAACCCATCAATAAAGCACCCTTTCGCGAAATTGTTGATTTCGTCAATATTAGGCGCGCCTCGGTCGCAATCGAGGATCGCGTCACGCAAGTCTTTTACTCGGGTTATAAAATCTAGAACGTGCTCACCGTTCTTCATGTAGATACTCGCTAATTCGCCGCGGTAGTAGTCGACGGTGCGCTGTGGTCCGAAGATGTCCTTTAGGGTGTTGCACAGCTCGGCGACGGTGTAGATCTCTTCGTCCTCCACAGCAGCGGCGGCGTGCCCACTCAAGTGTCCAATAATGAGTTTGACCAGAGTTCCCTCGGCGTGAGCGGGAATTAACTGCCTGGCTCTTTTACACGCCCGGGTGAATGTTAATAACGTTGGCGAGGAACCATTGAAGACGGGCACCATTTTTACTGCTTCGTTAAGAGTGTAACCGATGGATTCACTGACAACGGCAACACTTGGCACCTCCATCTCCGTAGGTGGTTCCTCGGGAATGTCTCTTTTCCTCGGTATCGCCCCTTGGCTCTGTTCAGCTTTCCGGATTCTGGCTAACAGTGCTTCGTTCCGCAGGCGAGCTTCCTCCAATTCTCGTCTCTCGCTGTCAAGCCTTCGGGCCTCCTCTCGAATTCAATTTGTTGCTTCTGTACCATGGCCATTTCGTCCTCACTCATTGGTTCCGTTTGCCTCGAACGGAGTTCCATCGGCGTCGTCTTCTGCGTCCCAGCCGGTTGCGACGGCATGTTGGCGGCAGAATTCGTCTACCGAAGGCGGACACGACCAATTGTTTTCGCGAAACGCCCGGAAAAGGTCCACCAATACTTTGTCCGGCACTTCCCTGTGGTTACGCACTTTTATGGCACTTCT